GTTCAGCTGGACAACAGACTAGACTGGAAATGCAACACTGACTACATCTACAAGAAAGGACAGAGCAGAGTCTATTTCTTAAGGAAGCTGAGATCATTCAGTGTCTGCACCAAGATGTTGCAGATCTTCTATAAGTCTGTTGTGGAAAGTGCAATCAGCTTTGCAGCCATCTGCTGGGGCAGTAGCATCAGAACCAAAGACTTAAAGAAGCTAAACAAGCTGATCAAGAAAGCTGGTTCTGTGCTGGGGATAACTCTGGAACCACTGGAGCTGATTGTTCAAAAAAGAATGCTGCACAAGATGATGAAGATGATGGAGGATTCTTCTCACCCTCTCCACAACACAGTGAAGAATCAACAGAGTGTGTTTAGTGGGAGGCTGCGTCAGCTTCGCTGTCGAATGGAGAGATACAGGAATTCCTTCCTGTCAACAGCCATCACCTTGAAAAACAAATCTGAGACTGACAATTGACTGACTGAATGATTATTATTATTGTTGTATAAAATATATGTTATATTGATTTTTTTTTTTTTTTAAAGTGAACTTTTACAATATTGAATTTCCCTTCTGGGATAAAAAAAAAAAAAAAGTATGTTTCATTTCATTTCATTTCATTTTCATTTTCATTTAATTTACTTATGCTTTTTAAAAACCTTTTGAGTAGCTTGGAGTGTCCTTTTGTCTCCATGGTGTAGGTATAGCTGGGAGTGCTGGGTCATCAGTAACTAGACCTTCCAGAAACAGGTGTTTAATACTAAAATCACTTAAGACACAGTCACTGCACTCAAATGATCTGTATTTTAACTAATTGTGTGACTTCTAGCATCACCATTAGTGAGTCACTTTGCTGTGGGTGAATCACTTATTACTCACTTACTTATTCTACATTTTATTTTTTAATTAATTGAAATTACTCTGACATGAAAGTGTTTTTTTTTTTTTTGTCAAAAAAGCTAAATTAAAGTGACCATGACGTCAATGTCAAAAAGCAATAAAAGGGGAAAAGGGGTGAATATTTTTTAATAGACATTGTGTTTGACACTTGATGTTAGAAAAAATATCAAACGTAATGTGTCAATATAGATAACTGCTCATCTGCAATACTCTGAGCTTGCAGATCCTGAACTAGATGTGGCATCTTGACTGAAGCAGGCTGAAGACCACATGAAAGTGCTTACAACCCGCTTTTAACATGATCAGGTCAAGTTGCCATAGCGACTGCACTCCTGCTGAACTGCTTGGCCCTCTCCTTTGCCTTTCCTTCCTACACCATCAGGCACCAAACTCTTTCCAAACAGGCTTTCAGTTTTCTATTCTATTTTTTCTATCCAGCAAATTTCCCTGATAAAGTGTTGTCACTTTGGGTCACTCACTTACATTTAGTACAGCATGACTGACGGACATTATGCATCAAATGGAAGTCCAAATAGCAAAGTATCTTCAAATGAGTGGAAAAATAAACTCCTTAAACAGCTGCATTTTAAAAACAATTTTATTTCCAGTGACAGAATAATTAAAATGTTAAGAATCACAGATGTAATGGTTTCCAATACATGACTTTTCATTTGGGTATATGTCTGCTCAGTAACATATGAGAGAAAATCAGTTAAATCAAGTCTTTCAACTTTTTTTTTTTTGATGGGTACATGTTGAACCACATGGCCCACAACACAACAGATTCTCACTGTCTTTTAATCCTTCTGTCCCTCTGTTATCTCTTTAAGTTCAACTGGATCAGGCACTGGATCGTTGGCCATCTCTTCAGGACAGAGCTCCATTGTAGGATCCATCACAACAGGTGAAGGCATGTTCAGACACTCCACCAGAGCAGTGAAGTACTCCCTCTCCTTCTCCTCCAGCTGTCTCCTCCTGCTGAACAAGAAGACGTCCTTTGACTTATAATCAGGAGACTCTATGTCCAAAGTAAGCACCCCACAGTCTGAGCAGGGTGTATGGGAGACGTTTGCAGTAAAGTTTAAGATGTTCTCCGTCATCTTCAAGACGTGACTTTCGTTTGACAAGTTGTGGGGATGATACAGGCATTTGTCACCAATACGGTGGCTTGCGTGTATGAAGAGTTGTAGACATCAATAGCTACACTGTCTCTTCATCATCTGCAGCTACAGTATTGTTGTGACTGCCTGCAATTAAATCTTCCCATGAAATTCTCAATCTGATCCAGAAGCTGGACCAAATTGTCGCAGGCCAGAGGAGCTGACTAAACCACCGATGTCAAACACAGAATGCTGAAAAATACAGCAAACATCTCTCCGTATGTCTGTTGCATTTTGGGATATTAATCTCTGTTTCACTGTGGTGTCTCACTGAGAATGTGTGATAAAGAGACTTTCCTGGTTTTTATAGTTTTTTCACTAACCTCTGTTTTGCAGTGTTGAAGATTGTCAGTGATACCAATGTGGAAATGAAAGAATATTTGAATTAATGAGTTACATATTGTTTACATTACCGTGGTGATGTAAGTTCATGGTTAGTCACCTAATGTCACCTTTTATGTTCAATAAAAATGGGGGGGGGGAAAAAAAAAAAAACACATGCAGCTTTAAGCGGTGCATAGATGATGGATGGATGGATATAATCATGTATTTTTAGAGACACAGCTTTTAATTTAAAGAAATCTTTGCTAAATCATCAAATAGGGTAGCACAGTGGTAATGAACCTTTCACTGTCAAAATTATATGAAACTTCTTGCATTTACATCTTTACAAACTGGGTGTTTGTGGTGACAATTCAGTGCAAAATCCCAGCAGCACACTGTCAGTGACACATGCTCCAATACCCAGCAGTTATCATTCTGCCAGAGAGGGTAATTGAACGAAACATGACAGAGATCTTTAAGCAACTCAACTGAGTGTGAAGCAAAGTAGTATTTTTTACTCTGCCAGAGTTGTAAATAAGTATTTTTATGGCTGAATACAGATTGCAAAAGGATGGTTTGAATCTGCAGAAGTAATGTGTTAACCAAGTGACCATATTTGGTAACTTCCTTGGATGTTCAATATGTCCATCCTGTGCCTCTCCTTGAGGTTGAAGAACCATGTGCACTTTGATTTAGTTTTTATATTAGTGTCAATATCACTACCTTACAAAAAAAGTCACTAAAGAAAATGTTCCAGGCACTTTAAAAATGCTTTGTTACTGGTTTGCATTGAACTCCACTTTGATTTTTTGAGATAAGTGCCAATATCACAACCCCAAGAAAAATGTTACGAAATGAACTTGCCAAGCACTTTTTAAATACTTTACTGGTTGTGTATGTATCATTACCTCAAAATAAAAAGCTTTTTTTTTTTTTTTTGCAGTTTCTTAATTATTCTTTTATTCATTATAAATTCTCTCTCTCTCTTTTTTTTTTTTAAAAACCGTAGTCGGGCAGGTTACCATATATGGTAACCTTTTTAATCTTGATTTTCAAAAAAAATTTTTTAAGTCACAAAAGTGAAAATATCTTGAAATATCCATCAGTAACACCCTAGATTTGAAATTTTAATTTTCCAAGAATTTCAAGGTGCCCTGTAAAGGGTTAAGGTCAAAAATACACCAGCCAAAGTGAGGGGATCCTTCAAGAGCCTGACTGGTGCCAGATTTATGAGCCCGATATTGATTTCAGGTAGTCAGAAATGTTGATACTGATAAATCCGGAGATTCTTTTTATATGCATATATGTTAGGGTCACAATGACCAACGAAAATAATGGGGTCTTTTTTTATTCATTTTCCAGTACTGTGTTTCACAAACTAGTTACTGTGAGGACACTGGTTGACTCTGAACCACAGTCTGCTCAGCTGTGACGTTAACTCTGTTGCATGTGCTGCAGGCATGCTGAGAGTGTTGTACGCAAATGAGTCAGAGACATTCTGCTATTGAAATTTTATTTTGTGTTATGTTTCGTAAAAAAACAAACAAACAAACAAAAAAATTTTAAACTGCCATATGCTGCCAGTGCTAATATATCAGCAATAGGCAAGCTATAAAACTGTGGAACTGATATGTCAGTCGGATTCCAGATCTTTGTCATATGTTGTAGGTCAAACTTGGGACACATATTTGCTGTTAAATGCCATGAAAACATGTATTTTACATTATATGTTACCTTTAAGATAAACAAACTGTGAAGTGGACAGAGCACAGCAAACTACAATAGCAACTGAGTGAATAATGCGTGCTGATCACTTTCTTTTTCCAAGAGCAGGTTCACTACTCTCCATGAGCCTAGAGGCACTGGCTCCTCATGCAGTGTTTCTTTCAGTTAACCAGGGAACTACTTCAAGGATCTCAGGCAGCTTTGGTAAGCACCTTAAACTTGAATGAATGGAAGATTTCAGAGACATTTTGTGGGGAACACCAGGTAGAGCCTCCTGTGAGCCCTCTAAACCAGCACTGTCTGTCAAATTTTGTTACAACTCACTGTTTGTACCCTTCTTCCTTTCCTTTCCTTCAAAGATTAAAGCTACGTGCCCTTGTATTGCAATATTGGTTTAATTATAGAAATAATTCCACTTTTTAACACAGCTTGTGCTAAGCAGTTTGTGAAGGAGGCAGAATATTTAACGGAATTCAAAAATATAACATCATCTAAGTAACACTGGTGGTGGGATAATATCATTCTCTAATCCTCAGCTTAAATTGTCAGAGAACAACAAAGCTCTGTTTGCTAGTGGTGTGTCTTAAAGAGTCTACATTTATGAAGGCATTTAACTGGACGGAAACCACGAAGAACTATGGGGGGCGCTTTCCAGTTAAAGTAGTTACTAATGTGGGTTTGGAACAGATACTTTATATTATAGTAAGAAATAAGAACAGACATGTGCTCTGTTTCCACTGGAATAAAGAAATATTATCATAAAACAAAAGACTCAACGTTATTCAGCGGGACTCTCTTGCATAAGTCAGTGTTGTGGTTCTGGGACAAGTCCAGTGTTTGAGGAACAGAAATACTGGATGAACACCAAGTATGCCAAGTAATGTCAGTTTAATCACCAATCATTTCAAAAACTCAAAAATTCAACATGCTCTCTGTATACAGTATATACATCCACAAACAGAGCTATGTCAGTAGCCCTGATCCCTCTCTTCCAAAACACATGTAGTAAAAATACAAAATTCAGGTACTTTAAAATAATTTCTCTTAAAATTGACAAAGGCCCACAAAGTATTCAATGGTGCACACTGTTTATAAATTAGGCCATTTCATTTCATAGTGTTATTTTGTGTTCTCATAACCTGTATTATAGAGTAAAATAAAAATGTTCCGACCCTATACTTTCTTTAGATTAATTAATAAATTTAACAAAGATCCAAAATCAATACAATTATTCCATTTTAAAGTTATTAAATTAGATTAATATGCTCCCCAGACCTCTCAAGATCTTTGCACTTTTCCAGTTATGTTTCATATTTAGATATTTGACAATTTTATGAATTACATATGTAGATACAACAAATTCAAATAATACATATTAAATCTGCATTTTGCTTAGCTGCATCAAAAATGTAAGTTTTATGTCGAATAGCTGGCTCATCTGCTAACCAAGAAAAAGGTTATCAAACTCAAACAGTGTAAAAAAAAAAAAAACAACAACATATTTTGGTCCATTGCATGTGAGGAGAATTTAAGCCAGTGAGCTTCTTAAGACACTTGAAAACTAAGGTCAGTCCATGAGACTCCTCTCTTCATGTTGGATAGAGCTTGCTTCCTGTTGCAGTGTCAAAGCTCGAGACTGAGGATAAGGAAATTTCGAGATGAATACAAGGAATGGCAGAGGTTAGTGGAGGAAAAGGGAAACATACTGATTTAAAAATGCATTGATGTATAAAACAAAGTGACGAGGGGACAGCAGAGAGACAGACTGAAGAGGCTGAGAGGAGATGAACGTACAGAAAGGGCATTTACATGACAGAGCAGCACTGGCAGCTTTTGTGTTTGGGTGCCTCAGTCTCCTCTCCCTGGCTGGCTCTGGTTGGGTTCTGTCTCTCTGTGCTGGCCGGGCTGTTAGCTCCTGCTGGCTCTGTCTTGTTGTTGGGGTCTTTGGCATTCAACAGAAGGGGTTCCTGCTCCCCTGGCCCTGCCTCTCTCCTTTGGTTCTCCTGGGAATCAGCCAGGGGAATCTCCTGGAACTGACCAGGTAGACAGGCAGGGTCGTGGGCTTTTAATGCTACCTCGGCTCCCTCTGGTGCTGTTGAAGCTTTGCCTTCAGCCTCCAGCTCAGGACTGACAATGGAGGGTTGAGCTTCAGAATAAACAGGCACAGGAGCCACTGTAGTGCCCTCTAGAGCATCGGCTGGAGACTGCACCTGCACAGAGGCTGGATCTTCCAATTCTTGGGCCAAGCCTTCAGCTTTTGTCTCTTCAGCTCCATTTTCGCTTACTTGTATACAAGCCTCCCTGTCTCCATCTCTGGTTGCTGGCTGAGCTTCTGTAGTGAGTTCAGTTGCCTCACTCTTCTCTGATTCTGAGAAAGTTTCTGGAGCGGTTTCTGATTTTACTACCTCGTCCACAGTCTCTTCTCCCTCTTCACCTGCTTCTGGATTTGTCGGAGGGGTTTTGTCTGCCTGCGTGGACTCCTGCTGAATTTCCTGGGATGGAAGCTCCTCAGGTACATCATCACCTTCATCTGTGATGATAACACATTCTGCCCTCATCACCAGAGTCCCTTCTTCCTCCTCCTCATCATCAACATTGACATTTGGAAGCTGACCAGGCTCTGCCTCAGAAACACACAACTCTGGTGACAAATTCCTGCTAACAACAGCCTCAGTGTCTTGAGTTGGTCCATTTGTGGTTGACTGATTATTCTGTTCTGAAGCGGTATGATCAGCGTTGGCTTTTAAAGCTTCCACACCATTGGTTAAGATGACTGCAGTTTTATCCAGGAGTGGGTTTTGGTTTACTTTTACTTCACCTTCACGTGTTTCTGAAGAAAACATCACAAATATTACTGTCAACAAAACGTGTCATATTGCATTTGTTAGAAAAGTTAGTGTTCTTCATTCATTAAAATTAAGTTAATTTGCAATCAATATTCCACAAAGTGATTGATACTGATTATTTCCTTTTAGTGTGGTTGGTGTGGATGCTGCTTTACTTGATTGCAATTAGAGGTTGTTTTGCCACAAATATGTCAGTGCACAGTACAGCTAATTCGTGTATTGTATTGCTGTTAACAAAATGTTCTGGCATCTTTGAATCTTAATGCATTACATGGAGGAGTTACTCACCTCTGCTCTGTTAGAAAATGCTGAAGCTAATAAAGGAATACTCTGATTTAGCTACAGGAAACACACTGTATACTGATGAATAGAGGCATCTATTTGTTAAACAGCAAAATGTAACAACTGCTATAACTGGATATTTGGTGTTAAGAGGAGAAACAAGCTACAGACGCCAAAGAAGGATCAATGGTTGATTTAACAGTTACTAACAGAAGAAGAACGTGAACAGCAGTTAAACAACAGCTTGTATTAGATGCAAATTTAGATTTTGCAGTCTGGACAAGAAAGTTATAGACTCTGGATGATTTAAATACAAATCAATGAGTTGATTTCATTTCAAGAATTCTGTTGTCTACTTGAACATCTTGAGTAGCATTACAGCTGACGTGTCCATGTACCTGCCGCCCTCTAAAAATGCAAGTTATGCACTTCAGTGCCAATTAGCATACATTTAAATTCAAACCCTTATTCATCATGTGTGAATATTCATCACAGCATGTATGGACTTTTTGTGAAGTAGAAGTTCTTCCCTTCTTTATAATGCAAATTTCATAAGTTCAGTATATACAATGCATACAGGCATCTGTAAGGGATTTGATGGTCTTTCAGGGGTTGGCATGAAATGATGATAAGATAGGAATTCCCATGAGGAAAAATGGTGAGGGCATACAACATCCATAGCTCAAGGTGATAACAGCATACAAAAGTAATGTGTTATGTTTCTGATGTTGATGTGTATATCTGTTTTGTGAAACGTTTCAACTCTATACACACCTGATCTTGTCTTGTTTTCTCCGTTCTGCACAACATCTCGCACCATGTCTGAGGAAAATATAATTTGTGATTAGCGGACATATTGTTCTGTAAAGGACTCGTGAATTGTAACACAATGATGCTGACTGATCATGAAATGACATGTAAGGGCAACATTACAACATCGCAAAATGTAGTAGATAGTATCCATTTTCCAATTTATTGCATGCAAAAAGAGAAAAAATGGAAAGAAGTTCAAGCATTTAACCAATAAAATCTCATCAATATGCACTGCTGTAATTAAATAAAAGAAGCATTAGAAAGCTTAGCTGTTGACTAACAGGTGGTGGCGGCCAAGAAAGTGTGTCTGCACGTGTTAGGAGGAATTGGACAGAATATCATGTGAGTGTTGAAAGATGCAGGCAGATGGATGACAGCATTGCTACACTCTGCACTCTGTTACATATTCTGGATGTTAGAGCTTGTCAAATTCCCTGAAAATGCTCAGGATAACTATTCTGCATTGTGAAGTTTTAATAAATGCATCACTCTCTAAAAAGGCTAAAAAGCCAATAAAATGTAATTTTCTAAAATGTCCACTGTAATTTTAACATTTCTTGTACCAAAAGGTCTGATCTGATCCTGCTTACCTGCTGCAGCATCTGCCACTTTTATGGCCTCCTGTTGGGTAAAAGGGACAGGGAAGAAATTAAATTTACTCTGCCTCAAACAGTCAAACTGTTTGTGATATGTTGCCTGAACCCCTGGTGTATTTCTGAAAGGCATATCAACACAAGAGACAACAAATGAAATGTAAATACTGGAACATCACACACACTTTGAGGAAACAGACATAATCCACAATAAATTCTAACAAACAGATTTCCTTGTGTTGTCTACAATTGTCTAAATGTCCATCCGAAATAGCTCAGACAAACACAAACTAAACTGATCAGTCCATTTCAGTCTCTCTGATTGATGACTATGATAAGAAAGGGTCCCATCTTTGTAGCTGGTCACCAGGAGGAGTGACTGAGCTGAAAGCCAAAATTGAAGTGTAACTTTTAAAAGTACTAAAAGGCAATTCTTTCTCTTGAAAGGTGAGATTTCTATCCAGTAAAGCTAACATACTAAACTATCCTTGGTCCAACAATAACATGATGAAAACAGCGGCTAGGTGTCAGAACAGAAAAAAGGATGGCATCTGCTTTATTCAACAGGAAACATAACTTCTAAAACTGGCTTCTGCTATGCATTGGTTGCTGTATTGAAGGGCAGTTTGGTGTGGGAATTTTTTTCTTGGTGTTAGGTGGGTGAATGCAACAAAGCTTTCTAGGTTTTATTTTGCTATTCAAACATATGTACCAATGTGTTGCACAAACTAATGAACTGCTTGTGACTCGTAGTCTGGCTTGACTGGGTTTATTTTTGTTGTCAAGTGGCCACATGTACTGCCAGATGCATCACAATTTCAATTCCATTCAGTTTAATTCAACATGCTATATTGGCATGAGTAACAGGTTATCAATATTGTCAAAGCAACAAGAATGGTGTAATTCAAAAACAGAAAAGAAAGAAAGAAAGAAAATAAGGTGAGAAATGTGATTTTCCAAAGGATTTCTTCAAAGAATTATGAAATTCAATGGTATAGTCACTCCTTAGCTCATTATCTCATGAATATGTAACCTGAATCATAATCAACAGTTTGTCTGTTTTTCTAACTTGGCTGATCACATTATTATCACGAAGAATAAGTAATGTAGCATGCTATTAACAGTGCTACATACAGGAGTCACCACACTGTATGTCCTGGGCTGTCAGTGGAATACAGCCACACGCTGGAGAACTCAACACCAGTCCATTGCTGAGGCTTGAGTTGTCACCCCTGAAAGAGCCTTCCCAAATTATGCAGTCAATGTAAAGCTGTAGCTTCTAGCAACTATACTTAAACACATAGCAGATGTAGGTTCAGATGTTTTCGGTCGCAGTAATAAGCTTAGTTGTACGCTGGCTCGACATGGATGGACAGCGTGACCGTCAGCATTGCGATAATGATTTAGTGTTTGTTGCATGAGAGATTAAAAGGGCGTGTTTCAGTCCCGTAGATCCCTCTGAGTCGGAATCTGAAAACTTCTCAAAGTCTGTTCCCCAGCACTGGTTAGAAGGAAAAATTCATTCCAATGAAAAGAAAAAAACTTTGAATGTGTCTAATTTGACCTGAACTGAATAGACAGTTTAATGTGTGTTAACAGAATCCTGAAGGGGGGGACATTGAACCCTGGGAACATAGATATGCTCCCTGTTGCTCAGTAAAAGCTGCAAAGATTTGCTTTAACTGATGAAAAGCTGACTGAAACAACATTAGCTCTATAATGATACTAATGATTGAAAGCAATCATGTATACTGCACAGTATGTCTGTTTGTGCAAATTCAGGAAACCAACATGTCATTAGACTCCTTGGCTCATCAGAGAGCCTTATGCAGACAAAAACAGAAAAAAAAAATCATGCACTTGTTCGATTTGCCAGATATTAGCTGTCATTCACTCTCAGTCTGCCCACAAAGCCAAAGATCTACTGGCTGGGTCTGTTTAGAGTGTTTCATTTTCACACTGTGGATAACGTCATACATTCAAAGTTTCCTTCATCACAGTCAGTATGGTAAATCGGCTGCAAAAGCTATTAAAAAAGGAATCCTCTGTTTATGTCTCCAGTTGATTTAAGCCGAACTCCAGAAGCCAAGGTTAAGATGAATATACATATAATGATGACTAAATATATTTAAAAAAAACCCTGGAGCAGACAGCAGAAGAGGTCGGACGGCTCCTTTGTCCCCACTATAAAAGAGCTTCATCGAGGTGCGGTAAACATCCGTGCGCTTGGCTTGAGGTGAAACAATTCCAGAGTATATCAAGTGCTATATTGTTTATGTAACAGGGCTGCTTGTATTCTAAAGTTCCTGCTTTTGAACAAGACGTGCTACATCAAAGGTACATTAGAAGAGGTAATACATTATGCAAGGCAAAAAGCCACAGACAAGTTGTGGGAAATTTTCTGCCTAATGGAGGAGGATGGAGCAAGCTTGTTCAACACATATTTCAACCCCCTTTGTGTCCAAAGAGTGAGTAGGTGAGTGTATGTGTGTGTGTGTGCATGTTCTGCACCGTTTGGCCATCTGCTGTCTGTTCCTCCAGCTTCTCTCGCTCCTCTGCCAACCGCTGACTCTCTGACTGCAACCTGAGAGAGACACACCATCGTGCAGACACACAAAAACAAACACATCAAAGCTAGATTAATAATAATGCCCTCTTACTTTTAAATACTTAAAATCAAATATCTAATTTAACACTTAAATATTAATATGCCTTTGCTTTTTGACAGTATGTAACACTACTATAAGCACTCTTTTTTTTTATTTTTTTTTTAATTGGTAAGCTTTAGTTCCCCCAGATGCCATGCAGAGGAGTCTTGTTGAAAAGTGAGGAAGAGCTGTGGACCTTTGGAATAATTAGATTGGGATCTTGGAGTGTAGTCTTCAGGGGCTTGACAACATTGTCATCTGTGATAAAGAAAAGTTGAGCTGTCTGGCGGGTGTGCAGGCGGGATCACCCTCTCACTCTGTTTGCGAGTTCAATCCTGGCAGATTTCAAATTCAGCTTTGCCAGAGCATATATAATGTACAACAGCGAGAATTACAAGAAAACAAAAATCTAAAAAGGAATGCAGTGACTATCAATTACACATGAAGTTGCATGTGTATAAACACAACAAAAATGTGACAGTTCTCTCATGCTCTGAGACACAGACACACCAACACACAGACACACACACTGTGGATGTACTTGTCAATGTGCTTTTCCATTTCCAGGGCCTGGTTGCCCCACAGAGGTAAGCGGGGGCTGTGGGCGTCCAGGGATGTCGGGGACAAGGGAGCTCCTTCCATCAACCACTGGTCTCTCAAAGACTTCCTCTGGAGCAAGTAAAAGGAAGAACGAAAACAGATAAGAGTGATTTCACTTTTCTCACTACTGTATTCCAGTAATTTGATTGTGCAGTGGGATGTATGTAAGATGTAATAAAAATATTGTGTTAAACACTGCACTCGACATAAATCTGTTATCCATCATAGTACTGCAGTAATATTTACTATACATTTAATATACTGCATTTATCCTACAGAGCCTCTCCTTCTTATATGACTACAGTGCTGCATGCAAATCAATACACAGAAGTGTTAATTAGCAGTATTGAATTTTCATGTTTTTTTCAGCATCATAGACTTTTGTAAGTTGCGGGGTACTTTATTTAGTGTATTAGCAAAAAAAACTAACAGACATGTTTGGATATTTTATCCCTTTGTAGTAGAACGGAGCTCTGAACTGATCATCAATTTCATTATTTACTTAAATTTACTATAATGTAATTTGCATAGATAGGACAAAATAGTGTTTGTGGCAGATAATATAGATGTTTTGAAGTGAAAAAAAAAGACTGCTCATCATTTGCACATTTTTCAGCTATAATCCCATTCTTTTGAAAGGCTTGGTTGTGTTTTCACCTTTTAGCTAAGTCTGACAATGTTTCGTTTTGAAATCTTAAAGAAGGGAACAGGTTAATGTTTAAATACCTTTCTAACAATAAAGAAACATGCCAGAAAGTGTTAGCAATTAACTCAGTTCACAAAAGAAATACAATACAAACCATCAGCAGTCAACTAGCCGTGTGATTCCATTGGCCGACAGCGCGGACGAGACATCTAGCCTTTATTATACATATCTATGGTTGCTACAAGCAACAACATGGTCAGCTGAACCTGAACTGTTGCCGGCAGCACATTGAGAACCACTACACCTATCCTCAACCATTTTGCTTTTGTATGAAAACAATATTATATATATATATATATATATATATATATATATATATATATATATATATATATTAGGGGTGAGACTTTAACGCATTAATTCTGATTAATTAATTACAACAAAAAAAACGCGTTAAAAAATTTGCTAGCCCTCCAGCGTGCAACATGCCTTGCATTCAGGTGGTACCATTAGCTTGATCCATCCATCCATCCATTATCTATACGTCGCTTAATCCTCACTAGGGTCGCGGAGGGCTGTAGCCTATCCCAGCCGATGAAGGGCGAAGGCAGGGGACAACCTGGACTGTCAGTCAATCGCAGGGCTACACTTAGAGACAGACCACCAAGTACACTCACATTCACACCTACGGACAATTTAGAATCACCAATTAACCTTAACATGTTTTTAGACTTGTGGGAGGAAGATTCTGACACACACACACACACACACACACACACAATATGTATATATACACTGCTCAAAAAAATAAAGGGAACACCTAAAACAACACAATGTAACTCCAAGTCAACCACACTTCCGTGAAATCAACCAGTTAAGACATTCTCTTTTCTTTTGCTGGACACCAGACCCTTTGATTCCATCACCTTTTGTCATGTGTTCAGACCCCCAATTCCACCCCCTTTTGTTCATTGTTCTCTTACCTCCTGTTGTTAATTAGCAACTGTATGCTAACTAACCACTATTCACTTCGATATTTACATACAGCCCCTCCCTACCCTCTGACATATCCTATAAAAGGTGTAACAGGTGTAAAAGGTGTAAAAAGTTCTGGATTGGTTTACCATCACAGACTCATGTTGGTAAGCCCACCGTATACCGGAATACTAATAAACACCCCACTACAGCAAACTTCACATGAGGACTATGGGTAAAATTTCTTCAACAGAAGCAACACTGACTATGAATCAATTTCACCTGCTGTTGTGCAAATGGAACACACACACACACAAAAATATTTTTTTTAAAAATCGGGCCTCAAGTAACTTATGAGGAGTCAAATCAGGGTTTTTTCATGATTCTGAGTTGATTGTTAGCATTTATATTTCACCACCAGCACTCCATTGTTGAAAAAGGCCACACTCACTTTACATTTACATTCACAGTAGCTTAAATTTCACATACTTGCATAACACTCAGAGTTATTTCTCATTCACAATGTCAGAAGTTTCAAGAGTAATTGTCTACGTCTTCTTCAGACTCAACAACATCATGACTGCAGTTTCTGCATGTGATGCCTTTACAGACTCCACAGGCTCAGATGCACATGACCCCATTCTTCTTGCAGCTGCACCGCTGGTTGCTGCAATCTCCATGACAATTACAGCTTGTGAACTTAAGTAGCTCCTCAGGAGCCATGGGGTCTAGTGTTGGAACTGGCTCATACCCATGCACACTTAATGTTCATCCATAGTCACTGGGGTTCAGAGACACAGAAGGATCTGTAGAAGGATCCAGTCGCGGGTCTGCAGCGTGAATGCTGGCAGCTGCACCCTCTGCTAGAGATAGAGTCTTTGGTTTGAGAACATCCATCCACTATCTCACTGGGGTCGCGAGGGGGCTGGAGCCTATCCCAGCTGACACCCTGGACAGGTAACCAGTCTATCACAGGGCTACACTTAGAGACAGACAACCAAGCACACTCACATTCACACCTACGGACAATTTAGAATCACCAATTA